TTTTTGAACATTTTGTGCGAGTCATATCAATTTAAACTGTTATAACTTTCCAAATAAATTGGTAAAATAAAAGTGTAATGTTAAAAAACAAAGAAAATATAATACATATCATATAAGGGGTGTATGACATCCACCTGACAAAAATAAGAGACAATGTAATACATAAATCAAATAAAATCAGTGTAAGAAAATTGTATATGATTGTAATTTAAGAATATCATCAAACCATAAGAATACGGCATAAGAAGTACTTAATTAGTTAAATAAAATGTAACTTTCACATACTCTATATAAACATAAGAAAGAACAAAAATATTAAAGTGAAATGCATTACCATTGGAGAAAAATAACAAAACATAATATAAGAGAAATACATTCTAGTAATATTATATTGAGTTCATCACTTACCAATAGTAAAGATAAACAAAGAAACAAACAGATCTGAAATAGAAAAATATAATTATATAGAAAGAAAAGAAAAATACACTTATATTCAATAAGATACATGAATTGAAAAATAAAATTTTAGTTTGTCAAACATGCACAAAGCATGCACCACTACATACACGTAATGCTCTAATAAAAGGATACAAAAATATCCAATGAGAATATTCTTTGATGATTAGAATATAAACCTATTTCACTTGGTCATAACTTGTCAATTTTGCAGTATTTATTATAGCATTATGTGCAACATTAGGACCAATCCCAGTCCACAGAGCACAAACTCCTTCCTAACATTTTGAAATCTTTGACAACTTCAGTAAAATAACATGACCGAGAAAAGGTAGAATTAATTAGAGTTTAATATAAAACCTGTCTGACTATAGTAGAGTAAGCATTCAGAGCTCCTGAATAACATCTTGGTACACTCACTGGAAGCTTGCCTTCAGCTTGAAGTCATACTTTCACCAAATCGGTTGGATTAGCGATTGTTATTGCTATAGCACATATTTGAAAATTATAACACAAATTGTTATAAAATTGTCAGGAGTAGCCCAAAGAAGAAATCTCACCTTAGAAATTAAAAAACTCAAATGTAAATTGGTCAAACAGATGCAGTTTCATTGACATAGACATTATGAATTAAACTATAAAATAGACCTAGACCTACCAGTTGTAAGGCCAACAAGTATTTTCTTGGTTAGAGGAATATCTCCAACGAAATTATCATCAACATACAAGGATTTAACCTAACAAAAGAGCCAACAACTGACAAATAAGGAATATAAATATCAAGAAAAATCCCATTTGATAAACAGTATAAACTTACCGGCTCATACAGTCCAATCCGTAGGCCTCCAAATACACATTGACGATGTAATCCAGGCACAATACCTTTCCAAAGTGCTGCCACACCTTCTTCTCTAGAAATTGTAGATACAGTGCCTAACATGCCTCTGTATTTTGGTAAAGTCACTACATCTCCTAAAACTGCTTTCTTTTGAAGCTGAAGCCTAACTTTTGCAGTGTCCAAAGGAATGGTGAAAATCTTACACATGAATTTATTCAAAAATCTACTAATTAATCTCAAACTACTACAAAACTAATTCTCTTATTCAAAAACTAAGAAATATATTTTACAACCTAATTTCAGCAATAATTAGAATCTAATTTTTTTAAGCAAGTTACAGGAAGAGTACATTAAACTTAATAGAGGCAAAAACTCAAAACACCTCGCACTTGAAAATAATAACACAAAAATAGCCTCACACTTGGAAAACCAAAGGAAATGTTCTCACAATTTGAAAAACCAAACCAATACCCACACATTTAGGGAAATCCCAAACGAAAAAAGAAAAAAACACTAACAAATAACCCATTTTCGAGTCAAGTGCGCGTTGCGTGCACCAAGATACTACTGATACTATGTGGCAATTCTAAAAAGATAACAAAAGAGTCAAGTGCGCGTTGCGTGCACCAAGATACTACTGATACTATGTGGCAATTCTAAAAAGATAACAAAAGAATCATATCAATTATCAAATTATCAATCTACTACTGATACTATGTGGCAATTCTAAAAAGATAACAAAAGAATCATATCAATTATCAAATTATCAATCCGCTTCTCTACACAAGACAACAAACTTTTGCTCTATGAAAAGCCATCATCATCAAACTGAGCTTATTGAAATCAGTAGTAGTAAAGACAGATAAGAAAGACTAAAATTGCCAACCAAAATAGTAGATGGTTTGATGGAGTATGTGAAACAAATCATATTTCTAACCTAATATTGTCAAGTGGCTTATGAATAACTTCTATGAAAGAATGTCATATTCAAGATAGGAACCGAATGTTTATGCATCCTCTAACAACTTGGTTTAAGATAGGGGTATGCATAACATTGGAGTAATAATTATTTATTTGTGTCGCTAAATGGCACTTTATTAGTTCTTGAGTTCCTCTAAGCTTATCATAATTAGTGGTAGAAAAAGGCTTTGCATAATTCCATCAGAAGGCAAGCTAAAAATGAAAAAAACTCAAAGAGTACTAATATAAAGTATAATACAAAGCATGACAGATTATTCCCACCACTGAGAAGATCATATCTACTTAAAACCGAATAAAAGAAGCAAAGCTGGGGCCAGATAGTTGTATCTATCTATTTTTGTAAAATAAGAACAATAACTAAAGTTTATAACAGTAAAAAATTCCTTCTGCCGACACAAAAAGAGAGTACAAAAAAAAAGCATGATACCCAACAGAGAACATTCTCTGAGAGTAAAATCTAATCGACACTGGATAAAGATGAATAGGTGAAAATTAAATATATTTCTTTATTCAATACCCAATAAAGTACATAGATCTGCAAGGAATATAACAGAAATTGCTAGCTATGAACAAAGTAAAACCTTATCTCAGACAAATATGCTAAAATTAGTTAAATTTGTTTAGGAACCACAAGAACAGAGCGTTACTGATCAATTTTGAATATTCATAAAATAAAATTGACATAATTTTAGCTTGTTAGAACTTTACTGATCAATTTTGAGCATTCATAAAATTCTACAAACATTAATTCTCCATGCACATAAGTTTCCTCCTAAAAGACAAAAATTCATAAAATCCAAGGCAAACCCTTCTTAATTCTAGAGTTCCCTTTAAGAGATTCTTGTACTGCAGAGAAAAAGAACTACCATGAACTAAGAAGAAAAGAAAAAATTTAAACAAATTAAACATAATAGCTTTATAATTAACAAATTTAGATTAAAAGAAAAAACCTGCTCAGCTGAAGGAGAGGGAAAAAAGTTGCTTACTCTCAACAACAGCAAGTGTTTTGGAGTCATCAGCCTTCTCTTTGGCCGGAGGCGGTGGTGTCGTCGGAGATGGGATCACTTCCTTCTCATCCGCCACATCTTTCGGGGCCTCGGCTGCCGTCGGCGACGGCGTAGCAGGAGCTTCTGGCTCTGTTGAGACCTAATCGAAAAGGAGGCTTAGATTGAGGGGAGACGAAGAGATTTGGGGGATTTCAATCGAAAAGGAGGCTTAGATTGAGGGATTTCAAAAAGAGGGCAGGATTGAGGGAGACGAAGAGACGATTTGGGGTTGTCTAGATTATTTCTGAGAAATATTAAAATAATTTTTTTTAAAGAAATTTTAAAAAAGGAAGAAATTGCCAAGTGGCGTGTGCAAGGATAAAAGTTTTTAGTAATAGATATAGATTGAATATTAAAAAGATTTTTTTAAAGAAATTAAAAAAAAAAGAAATTGTCAAGTGGCTTGTACAAGGGTAAAAGTTTTTAGTAATAGATACAGATTAATGATCTTAGAAGTTGAAGAAAGGGTGTCATTGAATATTAAAAAGAATTTTTTAAAGAAATTTTTAAAAAAAGAAGAAATTGCCAAGTGACGTGTGCAAAGATAAGAGTTTTTAGTAATAGATATAGATTGATACATTCACTAACATGATAAAGAAATGTGACAATGACACACAAAGAGAAAGAATGGTTGGGGAAAGAAAGGAGAAGAAAAAAAGGGAAGGAGACGATAACAAAGAAGGATGGAGGAGGAGAGAGATGGTGGGTAGAACTGAAGGAAGGATAGCCAGGGAGTTGGAAGAGCAGAAGGATGAAGAAGAAAGCACTGTAGGAATAAGCAAAAGAAACAGTGAAGAGAAGGAGAAAAAGAAGAACATAAAGGGGAAATTAGAAGAAAAAAAAAGAAGAAGAAGAGGATGAAGGAAAAAAGAAGTAAATAGGTAAAAAAGAGGAGGAAGTCTAAAGCGTGATGTCTACTCCTCAATACTTATAAGGAGAACCTAAAGGATTACTGTTCATGTTACAGTAATACTACAGTAATATTGTAGCATAAATAGTAAATCAAATCTAGTCCTCTGCCCTCGAAGCTACTGTTTATGCTATAGTAATTTACTGTAACATAACAGTAAATCAAATATGTTCATCCATACTTGAAGTTACTATTTATGCTACAGTAATTTGTTATATCATAAAAAATAAAGCAAATCAAATGTATTAAAACTTGGATCATTCTTTAAGTATAGAGGGGCAGATATGATTTCTAAATCAAATATATTAGAACTTAGGTCATTCTTTAAATATAAATGAGTAGGTATGATTTTTAATTTTAAGCATATAATAATTAAATCAAATGTATTAAAACTCAGAGAGAGACAAATTTAAAATGCATTGCTTAAAAAAATAGGGGACCGTGGGGTGCACACTAGTTAGGCTACCAACGAAAATTTATTTGAATTTGGGTACATGACTTTTACATTAGGAGAGCATCACATAATTTTTTTATGCTCTGTTGGATAAAATACAATTTTCCGTAAATTTTCCCTCTGGCTCTTCAACTTTCTTTGCACATGAATCAAAGCTTTCTATGTTGGAACTGCAATCATGGATTAATGTGCTGGACCAGACTCTCACCTCCCAACCCACGTTTATTTCATTTCAAACCTTCCATCAAATCTATAATGGAAAAAGGAACCTAGCTTTCTATATTTGGCCACTCGTTCGTTTCGCCCTCTTCTCTTTCTATATTTGATTGATGAAATGTGAAAAATTACTCTTTTTTTTTGTAGTCACCAAATTTTGTTTTTTGCTCAATATACGTTTCTCCTCATTTAAACCCAGTTTTGTTTGAAACTAGGAAATTGTGCCTTCGTTATTTACTGGAGCTCATGCATTACATTGTTCTGCATTTTCTTCAAATTTCCAGCATTTTTTTCTTGTTCAAAGACTGCTGAGGCATAATCAATGCAACTATTAGAATCTATATAGTAAGAACTTTTACTTGTTTATTGTTAGTTAGTTCTTAATTATAACCTACGTTTTGTCTCCAGTAGGAGCTATTAGCTCAGAAATTATGTGGTATCCTTTGGCAAAGCTAATTTATCTGTCTTTTCTCCATTTTGATATTTATGTGTACTGATTTTAATACTAGCCCACAACTGATTTTCTTCAGTTTTAGAGTTTTTATCCTCACCTCTGATATGGAACTTCCATTGTTGTACTGATAATTATTGGGTCTTCTTCAGAAATATAATAGCGATAGGTTTTTGAGACTTCGTTTCCGGGAGGGGACTATGGGTGAACAGACTGTCGAGATTCGTCGTGCAAGAGAAGCTATCAAGCAAAAAATGCGAGCTGGGGATTACACTGCTGCAAGGACCTTAATTCTTGAAGCTCTGAAGGTCTTCCCAACACTTGATCGAGCATCGGAGATGCTCACAGTCTGTGAAATCCTTTGCTCTGCAGAAATGGAGCTGCCGGGCTCAGGAATTGATTGGTACTGGGTGCTTCAGCTCTTTGCTTCAGCTACTCCCGATGCGATCAAGGCCCAGTATCAAAAGATTGCAAGCCAGCTGAATCTAATTAAGAATGACTTCCCTGGCACTGAGTTCGCCCTTGAGTTTGCAGCTGATGCTTTCTCTGTGCTTTCAGATCCTATAAAGAGGGCAGCATTTGATTCCAAGAGAAATGCGTTTCAAGACCTGTCTCAGGATCACAATACGGTGAACCCTTCTAGGCTTAAGAGAGCAGCAAGTGGGGTTTATAGTGGAAATGGAGATGTTGGTGATAAACAGAAGAGGAAAATTTATGATTTGGAAGCAAGTTGGGTTACACATCAAGTGAACTCCTCAGATAATGACAATCCCCTAAAGGCTTTGGGAGTTTTAGAAGGAAATCTTGTATCCAGAAAACGGCCAGAGAAGGACTTTTACGACTTCGAGAACAGTAAGAAGGCCGAACTCTTTTCCGTGGGTCAAATTTGGGCAGCTTATGATCAAGAAATAATGCCTCGGCGTTATTGCAAAATTGATAAGGTCATAGCTCAGAAACCTCAAATCTATGTCACATGGTACAAAGCTTGCCCGTGCCAATCCTCTGAGAAGAAATGGCAGGATGCCGGCTTTCCATTTGCCTGTGGAACCTTCACTCTTGAGCCGAACAAAATGACTCTTACTGACGCTTCTATGCTCTCTTACATACTTTCTGATGGAGTGACTAAAGAGACGCTTGAGATTTACCCAAAGAAGGGTGAGGTTTGGGCTATCTATAGAGATCGGAACATGGATTGGTGCTCTAACCCGGGGATGAGGAAGAATTCTACGTTTGACATTGTTGAAATTCTTGATGATTGTTTGAAAGATTCTGCTGCTAATGTTGCCTACTTAGTGAGGGTTAATGGGTTTAAAAATGTATTTCAGAGGTACTCGAGGAGAGGGATTGAGCTATCTTTCAAAATCCCTGCTGATAAGCTTTTAATGTTCTCCCACAGGATCTCAGCATTTAGATTCATCGGTGGAGAACTAAGTGGGATATCAAATGGGATGTTAGAGTTGGACCCATTGGCCATACCAGATAATTTGGTTCAAGATTTCTCATGTTCTGCTGTTGGACTTGTGGATTTAACCTCCCAATCAGATGAAGAAAAAGACTGCAGTGATGATGCTAGCACTACCCTTCTCATGAATCCCTCCACAAGCATGGTAAATATTGGGGGATCAAAATCATGGTTCTGGAATCGAAAAGTAAAATTGGCACAAAATGACTTCGCGCACGATCAAGTTTGGGCAGTTTATAATTGTTCGGATGCAATGCCTCGATCATATGTCAAAGTAAACAATGTGGTATCACCCACCAAAGTATCTGTCACGATCTTAGAACCACACCCAAGGTTCGACAAAGAGATACGATGGGTGGAGGAGGAGTTACCATTTGTATGTGGGATATTTAGAGCTAGCAAAACCATATTGAACTTAGAAATGTACAAGTTCTCGCACCTTGTTAACTGTGATAGGAGCTCTAAGAAAACTTTCTACAGAATTTTCCCAAGGAAGGGTGAGATCTGGGCAATGTACAGGAATTGGGACATCGATTGGAAAACTTCTTCACTTGATGGGTATAAATGTCGAATGGTCGAGATCCTGTCAGACTTCTCTGAGGAGAATGGCGTGGGAATGATATGCAGCTTAGTTCAGGTGCCAGGGTGTTTGACGTTTTTCCAGAGGCAGATGCATGATGAGTTCCAGCTCACAAAGCAAATCTCGAGGTTAGAATTGCTAAGCTTATCTCATCGAGTCCCAGCATTCACTGTGATTGGGATAGAACATCCTGACATTCCGAAAGGATTGCTGCATCTTGAACCTGATGCGCTGCCTCCAAAGCTCATCAGCTAGAAAAAGCAGCGCTTTTTGGCTGATTTCAGGTATATTTCTTTGGTCAGGATCTTTTTTAGTGTAATCACTTTTTTTTTTATTTCTTAACTGTGTATGCTGCTTTTAATTATAAGATGCAATGTGGTAGTATTCTATTAATAAATAACTGATGTTAATGTTAAGTAACCAAACAGTCAATATGTGTGATGGTGAGGTTGATGAGGGGCCGTTCACTTCTCCGAATATCCAGTTCTGAGTTGAAGAGTTTCAACCTGCACAAGTAGTAATTCATGAGAGGACGGGGCTTGGTTCTCCCGTGGTTCCTCTGACGATCAAGTCAGTTGATGAACTTGAGTGGGGAAATGAAGAACTATGTGAGTTTTTGTGTGTAGTATAGTATAATTTACAGATATTGCTTAAAAGTTCAGATCAGAGATACAGAAACGAATCCCCTCCAGGTTAGAATAGTACCTCTATTTATACTGATGGTATAAGGATAGAATGATCATTGTGGCCGAGCTTAGGATGGCAGTAAAGAAGTATGGGTTTGCGGCTGCGTCAACACCTACTTTACAGGTGTCGCTCGGCGAGTGGAGGTGATCGGAGGTATGGCGGTACGGGAGTGGTCCGATGAGTCATGAAGACTATCAGGGCTAGAGGTATAATGACACATGCGAAGCATTAAATGTGATGTTGACGTGGTGTCAGCGGGAGAGGCACGAGGTTGAAGTCGTCATTTGGCTTAGCCGAGAAGTAACGCCTTTCGAATCGATCACGCGAGGCATCAAAAATGGTCGAGCAGGCTTGTAGCGACTCGCTTTCGACAAGAAGACCAACAAGTATCGCCCTTCAAGTCGACACTAGAAGATGTCGACTCGACAAGTCGGCTAAGTCAGGATCCTTGCTGGTCTTGGCCACCAATTTAATTGGGTATTGCATGTAGAAATACACCTATCTGTTGTTAACAAATGGTTGTACTTTGGTGATTGAAAACACCATAACAACTGATATTTAAACTTGTTGTATGGCTCAGAAGTTTTCCATGAAGATCATTTTCTGGTTCCTAGAAGTTTTAGACTTATTCAAAGACGAAAATTATGATCGCAGGAGTAAATTATTTAGAAGTGAACATTGAGAAAGAAGAACAACTTGTTTCGAAGGGCTCCTGAGTTGCTACACATAAAATGAACACAAAAGGCAAGTTGCTATGTGTAAACTGATTACAAATGGAGAAGTATGTATGAGAAACTTATACCCATGTCATACATAACTTCATGAAAGTATTTATAAGCAGTATGCCATGTAACTTGCTAGAAGGGCACAACCTGCTATTTGTAACTTACCTATAATTAACCACACTGATATCTATTATATTATGTCACACGCATGGCAATCAAGATGCATAAGAAAATGATCTTACGGCCAACTTATAGTATTTTATAGTACCTGCATAGCACACGTCCACAACACATATATCTACTTGCTTCAAAAATGTTGATTTGTGAGAGTTGCTCTGATACCATTTGTTGAGTTTAGAAGAGTAGTGGATACTAAGAAATATTTTATTATTTCTTTAGTAGTACAATACTCAATACTCCCTCTTCTACAAATTCTCCTTACTATGAACTACTGCACTACTATGATGTAATATAAACACACTACACTACTCTTTCACTCTCCCTCATTTTATTTCTCACTATTTTTTTATTTGTTTACTACTGAGATGACTATCTCACTGAAGCCTTGAGGACCTTTTATAGGCCTTGTGAAGTAGTAGGTGTACATTGTAGGAGGTAGGTGGCTATAATATTGATTGGTGGGTTATGTGGCTATAGTGTTAGTTGGTGGGTCGGTGCTGAATTCAATGGAGCTTGGTACAGCAAGATTGGTGAGTTTTTAATTCAAAATAACTACTCTCTTGCTCCTGCAGATTCTAGCTTATTTGTCAAAAAAATTAGGAATAGGTTAGCAATCGTGTTGGTCTATGTGGATGACTTAATCATTACTGGAGATGATGAAGCGAAAATAATCATCACTGGAGATGATGAAGCGGAAATTCAATGAACAAGGACAAATCTCTCGGTCAGGTTTCAAATGAAAGAGCTTGGGGAGCTCAAACATTTTCTCAGATTGGAGGTCTACCGAAGGAAGGATGGGTTGTTCCTTTGCCAAGAAAAGTATGCGAAAGACATGTTGCTCAAGTATGTGATGTTCAACTGTAAGTCAATCTCAACGCCAATGGAGACAAATCTGAGGCTGTGTGCACATGAAGGAAAATATTTGGAAGATCCGATTATGTATCGGCAACTAGTTAGGAGCTTGATATATTTGACGATAACAAGATCATATATTTCATTTGTGATTGGTGTGATGAGCTGATACATGCAGAAGTTAAAGAAGTCTCACTTAGAAGCAATCCGAAGGATCTTAAGGTACGTTAAATGTAAAGTTAACTATGGTCTCATGTATAAGAAAGTTGAAGAATGTGAGGTCTATGGCTATTGTGATGCTCACTATGCTGGAGATCATGACACTCGGATGTCTACTACTGGATACGTCTTTAGTCTCGGTTCAGCGGCTATATCTTGGTGTAGCAAAAGGTAGTTAACGGTGTCATTGTCAACTACAGAGGCGAAGTACGGATCAACAGCGATGACAGCTCAGGAAAGCACATGACTTTTTTTAGTTAATGAGGGATCTACATCGGTCCATAGACTACTCAGTAGCTTCACATTGCGATAATTAGTCTGCAATACGATTGGCAGAGAATCTAGTTATTTATGCTAGGATAAAGCATATCCATGTACATCATCACTTTCTGCGAGAGAAAGTTCTTTCGTATGAGATCATAATGAAATTGATCGGGACGAATGAACAAGTAGCTGATATATTCACCAAGGCACTAAGTTCTTCAACATTCAAATTTCGAAGTGCTCTTGAACTCATGGATAGAGAAGTTGGTGCTGAGGGGGCGTATTAAATTTAGCACCGACCTACCAACTAATATTGTAGCCACATAACCCACTAATCAACACTATAGCCACCCACCTCTTACAGTGTACATCTACCACTTCACAAGGCCTATAAAAAGCCCTCAATGCTTCAGTGAGATAGTCATCCCAGTAGCAAGCAAGTAAAAAAAAGTAGTAAGAAATAAAGTGAGGGAGAGTGAAAGAGTAGTGTAGTATATTTGTAATACATCATAGTAGTGCAGTAGTCCATAGTAAAGAGAGTTTGTAAAAGAGAGAGCATTAAGTGTTGTACTACTAAAGAAATAATAAAATATTTCTTAGTGTCCATCACCCTTATAAACTCAACAAATTGTATCCGAGCCACTCTCACAAATCAACAAAAAATTGAGTATTTCATCTCCTATGAGCTGCCATTTTTTATGTCCAGTACTGTATAACAAATTTGTTTTTCATACTCCCATTTCAAGTATTTATATACTCTTCCAACTCAAGTTTTCTTAGATACTTTAGTGGAGCCGACTGACCCGTGCGGGAAGCATATTGGATTGACAAAGGCCATGAAGTGGGTCTGAGATGACAAATTTCCAGGTTCTCATTATAGAGGCTATCGACTTAATTCACAATGTTTGCTCGTGATATGACAACAAGCTCATAATTTTCCAAAATTAGATAAATGTATCTGGAATATTTGAGTAATTACTGGTTTGTTATGTTGGAAGCTCGTTATTGCTTTATTCTTTTTTGCATCAATTCCTTGTGCAATTTCTTCCTTTATAAATTATAGCTATATATTTATGCAAGTAAAGCAGTTATTTTGTTCATTTTTTTGTCCAGTTGTGTTGTATTTTAATCTAGTGCATCTGTTTAGCCACACACACACAATTAAAAGAAGACGAGACACCAACTCTAGCACACATGCATTTGTTCTGTCCGTTTAGTACTTCTTTCATCGGTCATAAAATTTCCAATTTTTCTTTTGATTTGCTTTAAAAGAATGCATATTAATCTTTTACATTAGAAAGTAGAAATGTGCCAGTTTTTTGTTCTCTGTGCGTGCAAGAGAGGGTGTGTGTTTTAGTGTCTAAAAATAACCCCTAACTAGAGGCCCTAAAGATAATGATAACATCGCATAAATGAGCTCCATTCTTGCATCTCCAGCTCCTAATGTCTCTATGGATGAGAAATCATGCAAAGTTTTATAGCATGTGTATATATGGAAATGTCATACACAAAATGATTTGACATAAGAGTTTATTCCTAGCCAATAGCCACGAAGCTTGTTGAAGATCATATATGGTGAATCATTCATTATGCTCTACACATTCTAAAGCCACGTAGACCCAAAATCTCATAGGTTGCAAATTTCTTGTCTGTGAATCCGAATCTGTTTGTTTGTTTCTTTTGATTTGTAGGATAGAGTATACCAGTCAGTGGGATCTTCGATTCGTGCTGATTTTTAGAGTGTTGATTTAAGATGTATCATGAATGAATAAGTTCATCATATATAGATATCACTATGTATTTGGTCTAAGACTCTTGCATAATCCCTGGTATACAATATATGTTAGTCAAAACGGGGAGGAGGACCTTCGGTGATCAAAAAGAGGAGGAGGACTTTCAGTAGCCGCATTTTTTGAAAGAGGGAAGGAAAGGACAATGCCTTTGTCAAATGGCAGGAAGGAAAAAAAGGGGGGGGGGGCTAAGAGGGTGAGAGAACTCAGTGAGTGAAAAATCTAAGAGAGAGAGTACTCAGGAGAGAAAATTGAGAGTAATTTTCAGAGTGCTTGTAATATTTCTTTCATTAGTGAAAGATTTGTAGCAGCCCGTGGACGTAGGTAATTTTGTGCCGAACCACGTAAATCTTGTGTATCCTCTTATTGTGCATTTATTCGCTTTCTCGTAAATCTGGTTATAAGGGAATTTACCTAGTTTTTCCAACAACTGATATCAGAGCTCTGGTTGTGAAATCTGTCAATTTTTTTGCAAGATTACTATTCATGTGAATAGTGAATTTTGTGAATAGTAAAATTTTACCGACGGTACCGACTTATCAACAGAAGTGTCTTAATACACGGTGG